TTCATGCTTTCTTCAACCAGTTTGCTGCACAATCTTGGACCTCCTTAATGAAGCTAAAGGTAAACTCATCTCTTTTCATATTAGCAATCTCTATTATCTGATAGTCTGACTTTATTGTATTTAATAGATTGCACATAGAATTTTAAAGACTTCACGTCATGGTTTGGACCTACCACTTAATATCTCTTAGCAGCTCAGTTTGCCAAATGAGTTGGAAGATCATTTCTAGTACCTCACACACACACACACATGCATACACACAGAGGTAGAAGTAGCAGTATCCCTGGTAATGAATAATGTTCATCGTAAATATCCAAAAATATGGCTCAAATATCCAGCACAAAGATGGATAATTATTCATCTGTTCACGTTTCATCAAGTGTCCAAAAAGAAGACTCAAAGCTTCCAAGTAAAAAGATGAACAATAAATCCATCAATTTATTAATTTCTATTCCTTGAAAATTTCTTTGTTCATTTATTATTTAAATTTGCAAGCTTTCTTATGAGAAATAATTTCACATACTAGTTTCATAGGTAAGATAAGATTCAATTCATCCTGAAGACAAACAAATTTTTTTAGTACTTGATTTATTAAGTAATGGTTTCATGCATTTTTAGAATTATACGTTACTATCTTCTTGTTCAGAGCGTAGACTATATAGTCTTTAGCGGCTGTTCCTATCTGCTCTGTATAACCCATGGCTTCATCCTTGAAAAAAATCTCAAACCTCTATTGGTGTATAACCTATGAAGCACGGACACACATAACATGAAGCCGTGTCGTGTCGTGTCCGTGTCGGACACACGTGTCGAATGAAGCACGGACACACATAACATGAAGCCGTGTCGTGTCGTGTCCGTGTCGGACACACGTGTCGAACACGTATCCTATGTATTTTTTAGGATTTGTCTCGTGTCGGCGTGTCGGATGGCCGTGTCGGATCCGTGTCCGTGCTACATAGTGTATAACATAAGGATTGCATTTTTGCAGGATCTTGGGCAATCTGATGCCTTTGACTGTCCAGAGTTGCATAAAGTTGCAGATGAAGTTGAAAAAGTTGACAAATGGATGCGCCAGTGCCACAAAATTGCGGAGCCTTTGGTGGGCGACCTTGGTTCTTTATGCTCTGAGCTTGGAAAAGTGTGTTGTGTTTCATGTACCCATCACTGTTAGCCGTTACAAAATGTTGTTTCCTAGTAGATATTGAAATGTCATTTTCATTTTTCTGCAGATCAAAGGTACCTTGCTTAAAGCTTTGTGCATCTATCGGGGTCCTGTAGGTTCTAGAAAAGCATTCTGTGTATGTTGCCCAAATGATTCTGAAGATAACGCATATACATGTCTAACCTGTGAGGACTGGTAAGCTGTTTGTTGTATGAAAATGCTAGCCTTCTACAGTATTATTGATTGTATATCTTTCTACTTCAAATAATGTGACCACAAACGCATATGAAGAATGCATTTGGATCTACTGTTTAGTTAAAAGAATGAGATAATGTCTTGGGCATTGTACATACTATGATGCTGCAAGCGAAACGGGTGTTTGCTGTTCTACACTGGATTACGGATAGATTGATCTATTTCCTTTAGTATGTAATAACACAATGCAGAAGTTTTCGAGCATATTCTGTGAGAAACAGATAGATTGATAAGTTTTTCAGGGAGAATAGTCATTTTTGTCAATGGACCTATTTTGGTTTGTCCTCAAGACCACAATCCCCTGTGAGGGTTTGTAACAAACGTATTCCCTGATGATTTCATCTAATATGCAGATTTATCATTGCTTCCTGTTCATTGATTTATTCCAGCTGGAGTTCAACCACAGAAAAATAGGATAAGGGGTCCATATGACAGTTAATTTGGTTATTATCTCCCATCAAACAAAACCTTAGGATCTTTGTCTTATAGTACATTAGGAGGAACTCGCACAAAGTAGAACTTGCCGAATGACCCAGGTGTGGGTGGAATTTATTGAATGAAAAGGGCCCTTATGAAAATATTATTGTTCCAGGTAAAATAAAACACCCATTAGTGAATAGTTTATTTGCATTTCTAAATGAAATTTTCACCAAGTTGAGAATGTCAAAGAGGTCACTATAAGTCACTAATATGTGGTCTAACTTGTAGTAATTATAATGGTTTTTTTAATCATCTTAACTTATTTTGGATGGAACAGTTACCATTTTTCATGTATGGGGCCACCGCTTGTTGCTGCTGGTATGGCAAATGAGTATGCATGTCCATTCTGCCTTTGTATGGAAAGTGGAACTACTACTGGACCTGCAGGGCATCCACTGGTAAATTTCTATTTTTTTAGAATTCTTGATTCATTTATATAATTTTCTTTTCATGAGTTTGATACTCAGACCTGTTTCAGATTTTTCAGGGGAATCGCCCTGAAATGGCATCATTTGTTGAACTTCTGTCCCGTGCTGAAGGTTTTTATGAAGGGTAATGACAAGTGACAACATTAGATGCGTTTTGATGATTTTTTTTCTTTCTTTTTTATATATACTTGCCCAAGAAAGTCAAATTAATATCAGTTCACTCTGTACTGCATTTTATTATGTTAATCATCAGTCAAAAGACTGAAAAATAAGTTCATACCTAAACCATCAATCTGTAGTTTAGTTCAAATCGTAACTACTTAAGGGCATATTTGACAACCCGAAAGTAAATGGAAACTGGATTGAAAATTGGAAAGTGGTTCCACTTTTTAGTTTGTAATTTTAATTTTTTCCAGTTTGGCAGGTGGAAAGTGATCGGGAAGTAGTAAGAAAGTGGATGGTGCCACATCAGCATTTTAACCCTTTCTCTTTCTCAAATTTTTTGAGAAAGTAAATGGAAAGTGAAGGAGAGAGATTAGTTTTTTTATTCGCTCTCTTATCATTTAGTTTTAACTGCCCACTTTCTACTCTTAACTTCTCCTGGTAACCGAACAAAACAAGAAGAAAATAAATGCTGCATCAGCTGCCACCTCAGTTTTCCATCTTCCCACTTGCTATTATCCAAAGGCCAAACAAGATTTAGCAAATCGGAAGTACTTAGAGAGTAGGGTAAGTTTCAAAAGAAAACCCTGAACTTTGGGGGTTTTTCCAAAAAAATCCTCCTGAACCTTTTCCCCCCCAACCAAAACCACTTTGGGTGTCTCACAAAATCCCCCTTAACTTTCAAAATTTCCACTGAGCATCCCAG